GTTGGACACAAGGAGGCCAAACACACTTTGATGTCCACTGACAGCTGCCACCATTGTCGGAGTCAATCCATGTCTCCCTCTACTGTTAGAGGTTGAGGGGCAGGAGGTGTACCATAGCAGTGTTCCCACCCTGACAGGCAAGATGAAGTAAACTATCACCAGATGTAGCCACCAGTGTCAGGTCAGCATGGTTGGGACATAAGGGAGGTCAAACACACTTTGGATGTCCATTGACAGCTGCCTTCATTGCGAATCCAATCCATGTGGAGTCTAATCCATGCCCCTCTACTGTTGATACTATAGAGGGAGACAGGAGGTGCTATCGATGTACCGAGTGTCATAGCAGGTTGGACATAAGGAGGTCAAACCCTTTGACAGGGACGGGTTGGTTAGGCAAGATGAAGTACTAACAGTGTTCCCATCACAAAGATGAAGTATCCACCAGTGTCAGGTCAGCATGGTTGGACACAAGGAGGTCAAACACACTTTTGATGTCCACTGACAGCTGCCTTCATTGCCGAGTCATCCATGTCTCCCCTACTGTTGATGTTAGAGGGAGACAGGAGAATCGTTGTACTATAGCAGTGTTCCCACCCTGACAGGCAAGATGAAGTAAACTATCACCAGATGTAGCCACCAGTGTCAAGGTCAGCATGGTTGGACACAAGGAGGTCAAACACACTTTGATGTCCACTGACAGCTGCCACCATTGCCGGAGTCAATCCATGTACTCCCTCATTCTGTTGATGTTAGAGGGTGACAGGAAGATGTTGTACTATAGCAGTGTTCCCACCCTGACAGGCAAGATGAAGTAAACTATCACCAGATGTAGCCACTCCAGTGTCAGGTCAGCATGGTTGGACATAAGGAGGTCAAACACACTTTGATGTCCATTGACGGCTGCCTTCATTGCCGGAGTCAATCCATGTCTCCCTCTACTGTTGATGTTAGAGGGAGACAGGAGGTGTTATTACTATAGCAGTGTTCCCACCCCCTGACAGGCAAGATGAAGTAAACTTATCACCAGATGTATCCACCAGTGTCAGGTCAGCATGTAGTTGGGACACAAGGAGGTCAAACACACTTTGATGTCCACTGACAGCTGCCTTCATCAGTATGGTGGTCCATCCATACATCCCTCTACTGTTGATGTTAGGAGGGAGACAGGAGGTGTTATTACTATAGCAGTGTTGCCACCCTGACAGGCAAGATGAAGTAAACTATCACCAGATGTATCCACCAGTGTCAGGTCAGCATGGTTGGACACAAGGAGGTCAAACACACTTTGATGTCCACTGACAGCTGCCTTCATTGCCGGGAGTCAATCCATGTCTCCCTCTACTGTTGATGTTAGGGGAGACAGGAGGTGTTGTACTATAGCAGTGTTCCCCACCCCTGACAGGCAAGATGAAATAAACTATCACCAGATGTAGCCACCAGTGTCAGGTCAGCATGGTTGGACACAAGGAGGTCAAACACACTTTGATGTCCATTGACAGCTGCCTTTATCAGTGGCGTCCATCCATACATCCCTCTACTGTTGATGTTAGAAGGGTACAGGAGGTGTTGTACTATAGCAGTGTTCCCCACCCTGACAGGCAAGATGAAGTAAACTATCACCAGATGTAGCCACCAGTGTCAGGTCAGCATGGTTGGACACAAGGAGGTCAAACACACTTTGATGTCCATTGACAGCTGCCTTTATCAGTGGCGTCCATCCATACATCCCTCTACTGTTGATGTTAGAAGGAGACAGGAGGTGTTGTACTATAGCAGTGTTCCCACCCCAAGATGAAGTGACAGGCAAGATGAAGTAAACTATCACCAGATGCTTAGCCACCAGTGTCAGGTCAGTATGGTTCCAAGGACACAAGGAGGTCAAACACACTTTGATGTCCATTGACAGCTGCCACCATTGCTGGTGTCCAGCCATACTCACCTCTACTGTTGATGTTAGAGGGAGACAGGAGGTGTTGTACTATAGCAGTGTTCCCACCCTGACAGGCAAGATGAAGTAAACTATCACCAGATGTATCCACCAGTGTCAGGTCAGCATGGTTGGACACAAGGAGGTCAAACACACTTTGATGTCCACTGACAGCTGCCTTCATTGCCGGAGTCAATCCATGTCTCCCTCTACTGTTGATGTTAGAGGGAGACAGGAGGTGTTGTACTATAGCAGTGTTCCCACCCTGACAGGCAAGATGAAGTAAACTATCACCAGATGTAGCCACCAGTGTCAGGGTCAGTATATGGTTGGACACAAGGAGGTCAAACACACTTTGATGTCCACTGACAGCTGCCTTCATTGCTGGAGTCAAGCCATGTCTCCCTCTACTGTTGATGTTAGAGGGAGACAGGAGGTGTTGTACTATAGCAGTGTTCCCACCCTGACAGGCAAGATGAAGTAAACTATCACCAGATGTATCCACCAGTGTCAGGTCAGCATGGTTGGACACAAGGAGGTCAAACACACTTTGATGTCCATATACAGCTGCCTTCATCAGTGGCGTCCATCCATACTCACCTCTACTGTTGATGTTAGAGGGAGACAGGAGGTGTTGTACTATAGCAGTGTTCCCACCCTGACAGGCAAGATGAAGTAAACTATCACCAGATGTAGCCACCAGTGTCAGGTCAGCATGGTTGGACACAAGGAGGTCAAACACACTTTGATGTCCACTGACAGCTGCCACCATTGCTGGTGTCCAGCCATACTCACCTCTACTGTTGATGTTAGAGGGAGACAGGAGGTGTTGTACTATAGCAGTGTTCCCACCCTGACAGGCAAGATGAAGTAAACTATCACCAGATGTATCCACCAGTGTCAGGTCAGCATGGTTGGACACAAGGAGGTCAAACACACTTTGATGTCCACTGACAGCTGCCACCATTGCTGGTGTCCATCCATACTCACCTCTACTGTTGATGTTAGAAGACAGAAGATGTTTCACAACAGCCTTGTTTCCACCCTGACAGGCAAGATGAATAATTCCATTGCAATATTTATCTTTCACATACAAGTTGGATATTTTCCGTAGTAACTCAAAACAACCTTCTGATGCTGAAAGTGCTGCAACCATGACAGGGGTTCTGCCATACACATCAACGGAGTTTATTACATCATCTCCGGGTTTCCTATTTAACAGGATTTTCAGGGATTTTTCCATTCCTGTCTTACAAACCAGATGGAAGATGTTTTGTAACTTCTTGTCTCTAGTGTTAACATCAGCACCTTCCTGGAGCAGATACACTAGAATATCAGAGCTGCCATTTTCAGCAGCCTGCAACAAAAGTCTGTTCAGTGTCAATTGATGATCATGTTTTTCAGAGCGAATGAAGAGCCATTTCAATACTGTCACATTGTTGCTTTGTGCACACCCTTCCATAGCTTGACTGATCTCCTCTTGAGAGAACTCTTCTCCAGTTGTGTGTTCTATATCTGTAACTAGATGTGCATTATATCCAAGAACTGCCCAGTACAGAAAACATTTTCCTTTCTCTCTCCTGTGAAACCAAAGTTCATCTTTAGAATCAGTTTGATTATGCGGATGGTGCTGCTTTGTCCCATCACACTGAAGTTTGTTTAGCAGTTTGAACGCTGTTGTGTCTCGTTTGAGAACTGGATGTGTCACTGATTGAGAAAACGTTCCTTGTTTAATAGAATCTGCAAACCTTGTGGTTAGTAGGTCATCATAATTATCTGAGACATATATCAGATGGAGATGGTCATCAGCTATAGTTTCTTCAACCTTTTCACCTTGTACTCTTTCAAACAGAAAGTCATCACTACAGTTCTTCAAAACAAAGACTGGACTGATACTGAACAAGGCACAGGCACAAGCATCATAAATTGAAGAGTGGGCAAAGCCAACAGTGTCTCCTCTTGTGAAGAATGTACCTCTAAAACTTTTAGAGGCTTTGTACATGCCTGAACGTGTAGCATTTGGCATCAGGTCCTGAACAGTTTTGACCATCCTGTCCATTTCCTTGTCTTCATCTCCACTGTCTAACCTGGTCAGGTTCAATTTGTCTTCACACAGCAGCATCAGAACCAATATGGCAGATCTATCATTTCTATCTTCAAGTAACTGCTTTAGTTCTAACCTAAGATAAAACAGTGGTTCCTTGAAAAATGATTTTTCATTTTTAAAGAAAGAGGAAAATTCAAAACAAAGTTTACAAATGAGAGGAAATCCAAAGATGTTAGAAGAGATTTCCAGCTCATTGTAATCTGGAATATGTTGCACTGAGTAGTCACCAAAAGCATGCTTATGCCGTTCAAATATTAATTTTTTCTCTTTGTCAGAAAGCCTGTATTGTTCTTGTTTTGTTAAGTCCACTACTGTCTGACCCTTGAACAATTTGAAACCCTCATACTGCAGTTTTGCAAGTCCATCATGGAAATTGTAAGATTTTGATGTGAAGACAACATGAATGTCCTTTGTTTGAGATTCTGTTAAACTTTGCACTTTGTTTCTGAATTTTTCACCAGCATCACTGTTTTCACTCAATTCTGACCTTTTCTCTTCTTCTCTCTGCTTTTGTTCTAAATGGGGGAGAAGATTGTTCAGAAAGTTTTTAACCTGTGAAGTATTAGCAGATACTCCAACTGTACCAAACAAATCATCAACAATGAGAAATACTCTTGAGTAAGTATTAAGACAGCGGTCAAAGTCAAACTTCTTAAGGCTGTCCACAAACACGACCTCGTACCCCTTTTGTCTATACTGTGAACCCAGCACCAGAGCCATTGTTGTCTTGCCCTCTCCTGAAGCACCACAGATAGTCACATGACCAAATTCCCTCAATTTCTGTTTCACTTTTCTGTAGGCTTCAGTTGGAGCAAAAAATCTTCCTTGCTTCATCTGTGCGCAAATCAAGGGTATCTGAAGGGGAAAAAAGTTTTTACCATCCCAGCAAAGACTTCGGTGTAAACATAAAATGACAACGTATTTCTATTGTGTGTGGAACATCCCTTAGTTGTTATAAGTCTCATCCAAAGAAAGTGATGTTTCAACTCCACATTTAAGACTACTTTGAACTGAACACAAAACACCAACATGCTTATTCACTGACAAAAGCTTGTGGTATCAGTTGTGAAAGCACAGCAAAATTGACACAGGGTGTGTACTAGTTGTTTTATATACACAGTGTTCCCGTTCTCCGGTAATTACCGGATTTTTACCGATAAAAATTGTGAAGATCCGGTATTTTCAACTGCCGTCGGTAGCTGCCGCCGGTAAATTTTGTATTGCTTAAAGTTGCCTTTTATCGGCAGATTTAATAACAATGTCTTTGTTTATTCTTTGTTCTCTTCAGATCATTATGCAAACGTATTGAAAACTAGGGTGGCAATCCCACATCTAAATATAGACTCTAGAGCTTTTTCACAGTTGTAAGAAGCGATTTTATTGGATAAAGATTGGTTTCTAATGACGCTTTTTCGCCACAGTCTGCTATAAGGGTCGTAATTGGTCAAAATCAGACACGTGACCTAAAGCAGCCAATCATATTACGGCAATGGTTACCGTCCTCGTAAACGAAAGCCTTTAGATTTAGACAAAAGTTTTGGGTAAAATAATGCTATTCTGAACATATTAAGCAAGAAATCGCTACCTATACGTAAATTATGGAACTTATTGGACGTATCGTGCTAGGTTATGACCTGTGACAAAAATGCTTCATGTATATATTTTCTCATTAAACATCGTGTCCGAGCGTTGTCAGTGACTTGACTTACATTACATGATCGCACAAAAAGATGGAAATAGTAATTTTATATGTACATTTGACAACTTTTATGAATGTTGTTGTTGATTTTATTCATTAGTCTATTCAATTTATTTAATGAATTCCTCGAAACATCATTACTTTGCTCTTTGACAATGTTATTGTGGACCCGCTGCCGAAGCATGTGTCCGAGAATCGTTGTTTTCAACTCGTGAAACGCAGATTGAAGTTCACCACAGGTATATAAACACTAATTATTTGCACATTTCACAGGCATTTAGATAGCGAATGACATTCTGAACACATTTATCGAATTTAGTTGGACCGCTTTCATTTTCTGATTGTGACAAAATACGAGACGTTTCAATCAAAGTCGAACGGCTATATATGCCAAATCGCGAATACTTTTGTCAGGACGCTGTAGGTCTAATGAACATTTTCTAAAAACAAGCAACACGTACGGCAGACTTTTCAACACATTTATTAACAGTATATCGTTACGAATACTGATTACTTTGTCTCCGGATAAAAACTAGTTCAGCCGGAATTTTCAGACCCCGTCGGCATAAGCCGCCGGTAATTTTCAAAACCACCGGAAACACTGTATACAGATACATCATCCAAGATTCATTAGTTTTGCAAGATATGTCAATACATCAGGAGTTTATATACGATGTATTCTTCTATCAAACATTTCAATCCATGTGGGTGGAAACAACATTGTGGTATGCACAGATTCTGTCCCTGAGAAACTGAGAATGGTAACAGTCTTGAACAAGATCTGGTCACTTACTGACCCTTCCTCCATCAACACTCACCTCTCCCCAGTGTTCCTTGTCCTGCCCCTCCAGTGACGATGTTGATCATGTTGGCAGCTTGGGCGTTCCCTGAACGCTGTTCACCTGTCAACACCAAACAGGAGGAATCATCAGTAACCATGGTAACCAAAACCTGAATTAATCAGGTGTTTTCTTTCCACATGGAATAACATTATTTCATATTACTGCAGGGCGAAAAGTTGGGTTTCTATCATTCTGAAGACGTTCACATATTTCATGATAATAAAACTTATCCTGTCATATACAATCGCTGCTGAATTACACATATTCATCAGGAATCATGAGATTCCACAAAATGTCTGACGCTCTGTCAGCTCCTCAACATACAGACACAAAGAGTGAAGCAGATCAAGTTGATTCATACACTGTATTCAGGAAGAAAACAAGTATTGTTCAAAATAGACACCTTCTCTCCTTATAATTATACCCATGATGAACTGAAATGTCTTTTGACCGACAGACTGACATAATTCTTGGATATTATCAAGATCGGGTACAGCCGTGAAGATCCTGGTTAGAATTGGTCTTCCGTGAACCCATTCTTGTCGAAGAAGCATGACTAACCAGTAGTGGATGTAACATGTACGAGGCGGTCCCCCATTACCGCACAGTTGACTACCTGAGAGGGTGTGGTGTTTCTGCTTTCGAAAAACCTGTTTATTCCGCGACTGTCAAGTAACCACCACGGCTAGAGATTTTACGGGGCGCTTTAATCATCCCGCATTGTGTTTACGCGTTGATTGAATCAAGCGCTTCAGTTTGTATGCAGAGCCGCACCCATCTCGCATTACAAGAGATCATAGTCCATCTCGCGATACGTTACGTCTCGGACTGTTACCAGGATTGGGTGGTCAGGCTTACTGACTTGGTTGACACATGTCATTGTATCCAAGTTGTGTAGATTGATATTCATGCTGTTGATCACTGGATTGTCTTGTCCAAACTATTCACAGACCACTGCCAATTAGCTGGAGTATTGCTGTGTGTGCCATTAAACAACACAAACACAATCCTCATGTTAAAACAGGCTGTGAACATCCTGTGAACATTTCAGAGCAATGTGTCTTTTGGTTCTGAAAAGGTGAGCCTTAAAAAGTTGTATTCTCCACTAAATGCAAATGACAAAACATCCATCTGCCAGAGACGCCTCCGTGGTGTAGTGGTTAGAGCATCCAGCCGAGAGCGGAAGGTCACAGGTTCGATCCCGACGCGTCATACCAAAAGACATTAAAATATTCTCAAGTACGATGTTAAACCCAATTTCACCTCACTCCACCTCCATCTGCTAGACTGACTGACTGACTGATTGATTTTGATTTTACGACGCCTTTAGCAATATTCCAGCAACATCACGGTGGGGGACACCAGAAATGGGCTTCACACATTGTACCCATGTGGGGATTCGAACCCGGGTCTTCGGCGTGACGAGACAACGCTTAAACCATTAGGCTACCCCACCGCCCCCATCTGCTAGAGGCTAGAACAGTCGCCCAGAGAGCGGAAGGTCGCAGGTTCGATCCCAAACCGCGTCATACCAAAAGACATTAAAATATTCTCAAGTACGACGTTAAACCCAATTTCACCTCACTTCACCATCATCTGCTAGAGGCTAGAACAGTCGATATACAATTCTGACTGCTCGTGAATCAGAGTCAAATAGTGATTATAACCAGGTGGTCACGAAAAGGTGGGCGTATCCTGCTTCATCAGTTTCACATGTCCTAAATACATGCAAAGGGGAGAGTTCACAGTACAAAGAGACAAACAGGTGGAAAAGTACAACAATGACGAACTGAGTGAAATTTGACTGATGTAAAATATTTGAATTGGAATATTAGAAAGAATGAACAGGACAACTTAGTTTGTTTTATTTCATATAAATATCAACACAGATGACAACCCGGAGGACAAGAGTGACACCCACCTGTACTTAGTGTGATTGCTTGGCTCTCCAGCTCAAGGACCTCCCTGTGCTCAGCTGAACCTGCGGGTACCAAGAGACCTTCATGTTCCTTGTCTGACCTGGATAAGTCAATATCAGGAACTGGCAAGTCACCTCTCAAAGCTAACATGTCCATATGACTTTCAGACTGCTCTCCGGAAGCGGCAATGTGACCTTCAGATGACTCACTAGAAGTAGCAACACGGAATTCAGATACCTCATTGGAAGTTTCCATGTGACCTTCAGATGGCTCACTGGAAGTGGCAATGACCAGATGGTGTCCACTGTCTTCATCTCTACTGGCCATCACAAGTTCACCTCCTCACTTCACCGTGCTCTGTCTGAAAATAATGAGGAATCTAAGCATGCTATGACAATAGGTAAGCTGGTCTGACAACATTGTTCCAAGGGTTCTGTAGCTCACCCACTATTATTGAATGTCCTTATACAAACTTTAACAAACAACCTCACTGGACTCACTAGTTTGTTGATGAAAGAATTATAATGGCGATGTCAAATTCCATCATATGTCTTGGTTGTCCATGATGCAAGTCAAATTCAGGCAAACATTCAGCCACCCAGAAATATTCACTAAACAGTTAAATAAACTATCTGGAAAAGGTACATTAAACCAAGACTTTTCTTTTTAAATTTATTTGTATCCTATTTTGATTGAAAGTGAGGTGAAATTGTGATTTTAGATAGGTGCTTGAGATTATTTCTCTCAAATGACGACGTGCGTGTGTATGCGTATGTGCGGCTGCTTGGACTTAAGCTGGTTTTATAGTGCTAGTCCACTGAGATACCACGCCACAGTGAAGCCTGAATACCCCACTCAGATACATTATACTGACTCCGAGCCATTCACTCACGGATTGAACCCGACCTTCAGCTCTCTATTTTGATTGGATAAAACTGAAACCTTTCATGATAATAGAATGCTATGCCTGACAAAGGTGAATACCCTGCTGATGCTTTAAATCTTCTCAAACTAAAACTTTTGGTAAACAAATGCAAGTACCAGTGAGGAACCGGGTTAGAACTGGTCTTCAAGCAAACCATGCTTGACTAAGAGGCTTACAAGCGGGATTAGGTGGTTAGTTTTAGCTGACCGCCATTGTATCCCAATTAGTTGATTGATGCTCATGATGTTGATCACTGGATTGCCTAAGTTCAAGCTTGCCTAAGTTCAGGTTCCTCAGTTTTGGAAGTGATTATGTTTACACAAGCAGAGGAGGGTCAATGTGGTCAAAACACATAAATGTTAATCAAGGTTAAAAGTAAATACAGTCAAATCTCGATGAGTGAATGCCGGTGTCTCGAACATTATGCATAACTTCGAAGTACCTGTCAGTCCTGACCATTCCCTGTTATAGTTGTCATCATTTGAATACTAGTTACACGAATTAGGTCTCAAATACACATGATGACTCAAGAGAAATTTTGGTCCCATGAGATTCAAACAGCAATCTTGTATACATAAGCGAGAAGTCAGTCAATGAGAAGTTGATTAGTGTAGCAAACTGATCCAATTAACAAACCAGCTGGCTCACACCTTTCCGCCTTTGCCTTTGATCGGTGAGTTCAAAAGGCAGATTAGTGATTTTATGGAAATCACTGTCTGTGCTTATCGACTGGAACTGATAAGGTGCCCCTATTAGTGATAGGAAATCATTAGATAAACAAATGCTTAGGCTTAGGAATTTGGACTGGATCATCCTTTTTCTACCCTCATAGATATACCTATGTCTCAAATACATCGATAAATTCGAATTTATTACTTGGTCCCCAGAGATTCGACTCATCAGGATTTGACTGCAGTAGAAAAACCAAATCTTCTGCAGCTGTTAACTTCATTCCATTTCATTTTAAGTGATGGCTTAATGTTTACAAATGTATTTCAAAATGGCTGCTCCAAGCTGGTTCAGTTTCAGCTTATTTGTCCACTGGGAAGCTTAGTTTCAGAACATTTATAAATAGTCCAGTAAAATTAGTGGAAAAATCACTGAACCTCCAAAATATTGGTACAGAAATGGTTTTGTGTTCATATCATTTATAATAGTTATGTAAACAATATATAAAAAAGTCCTCCCTTGGATGTTGATGTTAAGTGGGTTTTGGGGGGTAAAAACTATGAAAAATGGTAATTTTCAATTATTTTTATCTATCTGAAAACAAGTCCAGAAAATGGTACAAAATATAGAAAAACATACAACTGAGGTGTACAAAACAGTAAATAATGATAATTAGAATCGAAAAAAAATTACAACGAGTTATCTCCCTTTTGTTTACAATAGATTGAAGTAGCAGAATGGAAGAAAAGGTTCTATCTTTAATTAAACTTTAACTAGATGATACTATATTTAGCCTAATAGATAAAGGATAAAAAGGACAGCTAAAACCTACAATTAAAAGAGATGAGGAGGAGGACTGAGGTGATTCAGCTCCCATAATTAGCCAACAGAGCTACATGTATATGCACTGCGGTCATGTAAGACTACGCACCTGGGTGATAAATGGGACATTCTATATCAAGATTTAACAGAACTTGAAGAAACATATGCCAGAATGATAAATTAGGAAAATATAACATTTATATTTTCTATGCTATCAATTTTAAAACAATTTTAAAAGGTGATCGGAGCATAAGCACTGTTCTCTATTAACTTTAACTGGCAACTACATATTATGTGTGCAGAATTGAGTGAGCCCTAGCAAATATTTATAGTATAACTGGTATTTGTTTTATCTGATTTGAAATCTCAGCAACTTTTAAAAAGCGGACTGAAATCTACATGAAAAAAACTTAAAATAGATTCACATAAACTGGACATATAACACATATTTTTAATGAAAATCATACCAATCTTTTTCTTAAAATTGGAAAAATCATTTACTTTTACGCTGCACTCAGCAATATTCCAGCTATATGTCGGCGGTCTGTAATTAATCTAGTCTGGACAAAACAATCCAGTGATTAACAGCATGCGCATCGATCCATGCTAATGAAGTCCGCAAGCCTGACCACCTAATCCCTCTAGTCGCCTCTTACGACAAGCATGGGTTACTGAAGATCAATTCTAAACCAGATCTTCACGATTGCTGGGCTACTTGTTAAAACATCCAGGGAAGTCTTTTTTAACTGCCAGTAAAAAAGAAATAATATCAGTATTTTTGAAGCTGAAATTACTAAAGGACAAATACTTTAAGCATTTCAAATACTTTAATAGTAGGTGGTGCATACTTGTTTATCAACCGTGTTAAAAGTTTGCTCAGGAAACGGAAAGATTTCTGACTGACACAGGTGTTGATGCAAGAACTACAAATCCGACAAACTCGCACCATTTAACAAAGTTTATTCACTAGAGCATATTCGTCATGTTCATTTATGAACGTTGTGGCATTTGGTTGTACTGGTGATAATTTGGTAATATAACCTTGACATTGAAGTCCACATGTCAAGGGATCTGTTAAAACTGTCGGCACAATACTACACAAATCCATGAATTGGTCATACTGAAGCTGGTCTCTTCCATTAGCCTTTAGATAGACCATTGTTCATTAAATGGCAAGGTTCATTAAATGGCGAGGTTCAGAAACTAAAAAAGAAACAAAAAATACCTTACTAAATATGTTTTGACAAACAGTACCATAAAACAGTTTCTCACAATTAATTACTTACAGAAGCATAACTTTAAGGCATAATTACTGCTATGTTAGTAGTTCCCTTGGCTGAATGATAATTCAAATGAAACATGAATTGAGAATAGAATTATTTCTGCAATGAAATGCAAACATTACTTTAGAATTCAAATTCCTATTCAATAACCATAAGCATGATAAAATGCTATACTCAAAATAAGTCATTACTCAAACCTTCAGAATTGACAGATAACCTCAAATACATGAAATTAAAGTTGCGAGCAACAATTGACGGCTCCTTGGCTTGGATCAGGTCTAAACATTTGGTACCTGATGTCGAAAGCAGTAAAGGTTATAGCTGATATGGATCGTATCATTGTCAGTAATGAGAAATACTTCAGGAGCCGATTTTACTAGCGCTACTTCAGCTAGACCAGAGTTACGCCCCTTAGACCACAGCTAGAACTTTTACCCTGACCCGGAACGTTCAATCACTGACAATCTTTAAAAACTGCCTAAAGACCTCCACCGCAGTGTAGTTTAATTTTTGTGTAGCGCTAGCTCTCGCCATTGTCAACTGAAATCGACATCATCTCCCATATCTGCATCGCGGACCACGCTTTGCAGTGGTAGTCTCTATAGGAGATATCGCCCTTGGCGCCTTCCTTCAGACTGTCGCATGCTTTGCACGGGTAATCTGCCGCGTGCTTGCCGTGCCGTGAAATGTCGATGAAACTTATGATACATTCGCAAGGTATCCCTGGGCCGCCGGTGATATAAAGAAGTCCCTATTTCGTTAAATCTGCCCAAACTTTGGGTTTTTGAATGTAAGCATTATTTATGATGACTGGTGCGTTGTTGAAAGTCTGTTTACGCGTCATATTTAGCGTGTTCAGCCTGGAGTTGTGGGTGAGTTTGTTTGGTACTCTTTTTCTTCCATTTGGGGCACGCCTCTCAAACAGTTTTTTTCCTTTTCCCTGCATTTGTGCAATTTTCAATGCCATATGGCCCGACAAACGATCAAACTTTTTGATATGCATGTAAGAACACCTAAATGTTAAAGCATCTTCTGTTGATGCATACCGCCAAGTTTACGGCCTTCTGTGCAGAACTTGAGCAGCTATGCTGTTTAGAATGTAGTATCATCAGAATCTGACGAAATCCAATATGGTCGCCAAGCAATACACATTTTGACATGCACCCAAGAACAAAAATGTTTAACACACTTAGTTACTACGCACTGGCAGATTCTAGCTGCATAGTTGAAATAGTTATGACGCTACGATTTTTGAAAATACATTTTAGTACAAAATAAACAACAGAAGCAAACATCTAGATATCCCGTGAACTAATCAAGATATCGCGAACATAGCTTATGGGCATTAATATTTGAGGTATATATTGTATATCTGCACATTTACAGCGTTCTGCAGTTCATACATTCAGAGTTATGGCTTCGCGAAAAATGCCTACCGAACAAAATCTGCAAATTTCCGATAAAACATCTTCAATCCAATATGGCCGTGATCATCGCGATGACTTCGGCATAGGACCAAGAACAGAAAATGTTCAACAACCAAAGGCCACTTCAGAACAAGCGTTTAAAGTGTTGTATGTGGTAAGTTTCGTTTTGGCAACAAAATAGCCAAGTAGCCCGTGAAAGTTTTTTGAAGACAACTTTGCGCATAAGTTGTTAAGCGTCAATATGGCTTCATCATATAAACACAGGCACATTTGGCCCGATTGTAACTGTGTAGGAACATGCATAGACACAAAGTATACAGCGTTTGAAAGCCCGTAGCTCTTGTAGTTTCAGTGCAGCACATTTTGGGAGGAAAGTAGTCAGCATTTTGCTTAAAAACATCAACAAAAACTTCAATCCAACATAGCGTCCAAGCGGTTGCATTTTAGCGACTTGAGCCGTCCAGGCTGATATTGTAGGCATTTTGATTAAGCGCATCTGCTCCAGAACTTTGGCAAACATTGGAGCATTAGTTTTGGAGATATTTGCATTTGCATTTGAAATTTTTGAATTAATTTTGAATTATCTGCCCTTTGGTATTGGGCCTACAACCTTGAGATTTTAATGGGGAATATCTACACCTCTGTGGGCATCTGGGTGAATTTTTTCAAGCGAATCTGTCCAGCGGTGCTCTCTGTAGCTCTGGTACAAAATCCGGCTGAATAATAAATAATAATAATAATAAAAACATTAACGATTACAATAGGTCTCCTGCCTAAAGGCAAAGGAGCCCTAATAAACTTACATTTGTGTTCCAACACTCTTGTCATTCACACCAGAGACCATCTCTGTTCACACATCTGTACACCTTGAGGCCTTCCACTGTTATGCCATGTGGCTGGATTGCATGAACTGCACATGCTTTGGGTCACATGACCACACAATACCCTGGCTCCTCTCTAGACTTACTGCTAGGCTCTTATGTAAACTGATT